TTTTGCTTTTACAAAAAAGATTAAAAAACTAGCGAAAATCAAGTTTTATGAAAACTAACATTTCCAGGCTTTTTTCACATAATATTAAAATATTCATCATTCACTCAGAAAACTTTAGAACGAATTGGAAACATCAGGACAAAATTTTATTTTTTGAAGGCTTAATCGTCTTTTTACAGCGTTCTCGAGTTTCCTTTTATTGAAGTCATGAGTCTTTTGAGTCTTTTTCTGTCTCCTAGTTGTTGTTCCTTTTTGTTGCTAATGTAAGTCCCCGGCACCTTACACTGAAGGATGTTATACATTCATCAAATAGTAATGGCGGAGAGAAACAGAGAGAGGGAATATGATATTTATAATACACAGCTGAAATTGAATCCCGGTTGTATACTGTTTTGAGAAAGTAGAATACAATTTGTATGAAACGCATTGGTTTTTGAGAGATGTGTAGATGTGATCCTTTAACCTCCCTTGGTCATTGGAATAGCCATTTGTAGATCGATGACGAAAAATTAAGAAAGCATGGAATTTAGAGGTCTTGTAGCGAATTCCATAAGCTACCGATTGGCAAAAAAGTATTTTGTTTCGTTGGCTTATCTCCGAAAAACATGACTTGAAAAAAAGATGATTGTAAAAGTCCTATTTTGGGGCTTTTCGTAAACTTGATATAGTTCGATCAAAAACCGTTGTAGAGGACTCGGGAACATCTCATTTTGTGGAGAATTGTTTGCTCTACCATTCTAAGTAGTTTGAACAAAATTCTGTTCGCAGGTACCAGGCGCTGGAATTAGGGGTGGCACTTTTTGGTTCCTTTTCTGATTGTTTTTGGAAAGGAAAGTCACTTTTTGCTTTTCTCTTTTTAGAAACTGAAAAAGAAAGTGCCAATCCTATCTCAAATGTCTTTTTCAAATCACTCTTTCAACCCAGTAAAGTTAGAACCCCTCGAAAAGGCTGTTGTTGGAGCTAAAATTTTTATCAAAGATACTTCATACTCTGTTTCGGGTTCTAAATTTCTTATAAGCGTTTTTAATTTCAACATCTGCTGACAATGCTCTTATGGGAGCATCCAAGATCCAAAGCACTGTTTTTGTGTTCAACTTATGGCTAGACAAGACTTACTCTTGTCGCCGCTATATAGAACAAAGGCGTGGAGATTGATCTTAATTCGCTCTTGTTGTGTGCAAACTCTGAAGAAACATCAGATGAAATTCATTTACGATGCAGTATGTAGTTACATTGTAGAGAAAAAGACATTTCCTCAACCTGTGTAAGACGCGCGTAATTAAAAGTTCATATGCTATCTTATATTCGACCGAATCGTACATCATTCGAAAGAGGAGGATGAGCTGAACAAGAATAATTTGATTTCAGCCTTCCCAGATCACGCTTTTCGTTCATATCCCTTTTTCTAAATCAAAAGCGAAAAATCGGAATCGTGCTCGTAATTTTGAATTTTCTCTACCAGAACTTACTTTTTGTGGAATAAACCGTTTCCGTTGATTTTCATTTTTAGTAAAAACCGCAGTAATTTTGATAAGATAGTGACAGCAGCTGCTTTTAGATTCATTAAATAAATATGAATCTAATGCAGCTGCTGTTATTATCTTATCAATTATAAAATTTCTATTTCCTGAACAGATATAATATCTTAGTAATTCTTCTAAGACGCAGGAAATTCGACATTTAAGCACTATTTTATTTTATTTATACGTGGCTGTATAGAGCGAAAGCCAAGGATCTCGAATATCATCTTTGTAGTGTTTTTAGTGAACGTCTTCCTGGAAACAAATTCGGGACAATGATTCGGGACAATGATTTTCAGATTCGGCGTTTAGAGTAGAGTATAGACAAGTGTTTTTGAGTCAGCCATGTATAAATAAAACAAAAATAAAATAGTGCTTAAACGTCGAATTTCGTGCGTCCGTCTTACATGAAAATTCGAAAAAAACAAAAATGATTCATTAGGATAAAAAGGTACATCATTCGACTCGGCTTTCGACACTGACTCCGAATATGCCATCTTTATTGCATAAAGAGTAATAATAATACTATCTATAATAAAAATTCGAACAAGAGTAATGCAATAACAACACAGAATGCTTATATTCGCATTTCATGAGGAAACTTGATAACAGGGTTTCTGGAAAATCTGAAGGCTAGACAACCAAGTCTTCGGTTTTTGGTCAGAAAATTTTCCAAACGATATAGCCTGGTAGAGCAAAGAATATTGAAGAAGGTGCGATATCTCCCGGCTGTCAGAAAGCTTTTTCACCCGACTGCAATCGACCCAGGAATGGGTACAAAGAGGAGTGAAAATTACCAAAATATTCCGATGAAAAACCGTTTTGGACAGCCGTGAGATATTGTAAGCCGTACCTTCCTTGCTCTACCAGGCTATATGGTTTGGAAAATTTTCCGATCAAAAACCGAAGACTCGGTTTTCAATACGTCAATACCCGGTACATAAGGTAAACTAAGTGCTCTTTTTTCGCGTTGAGTATAGGAAAAAATAGTTGATAAGAAAAGTGCGAAATTTTATTATGGAGACGATCAGTTCCGGTCCTCATAGACGAATAACGCATAAATTGACAAAAAATTTCTTATGTTCTGAAAGAAGATTTGTAATTTTTTTCTGATAGGAAAAAATTCTTATCAGCTACAGAAAGACTTTCTCTAATCATCGAGAATAATTCCACATTATCATTCGTTCAAATTAAGTTTCCAACAACAATACGAAGTGTTGAGTTCTCCTTGATATCGTAAAAGCTCAATGTTCGATCATTATGAAGTTCTTTACCATTAAAAAAGAGTTTTTGTGAATTTTGCGCAATACTTTCTATCTGACTTATATTCCACTTAACTTTTTCAATTTTATCATTTAGTCTCACTTTCAAGTTTATAATGCGTCCGGTCTGAGTTTGAATATTGATTTGTATGGCATGATCTTGACTTGTTTGCCCAAGACAACTGTAATTTGAAACATTAGCTTGAAAATTATTTCCAAATTGCTGCTGAATTAACTCAAGTGTTGATTTATTTTCAATATTATAATAATGCAATGTTCGATCATTATGAAGTTCTTGCCCGTTAAACAGTAAAATCTGGTTTTCCACTGGGATGTTTTCATTCTCGTATAATCGTTGTTTAACACTTTTAATTGTATCCGTTTGTGTTACAGTAGCGGTGAGAGAATGGATAAGGCCATTCGGAAGCTTAACGTCAAGTTGAATAAATTGTGATCTCGGAAGTTTTATGACCAATTGCAATGTTGAATGATGTTGTATGTTGTAATCACACAGTTCGTGCCCATTTTCAAGTAATTTTCCACAAAATGTTAACTGTTGATGGTCGACTGGTAAGCCTTCTTCTTCCTCAATTTTTCGTTTTACATCGAGAACAGTGTCATGTGGATCCATCGTGGCAGTGATTGTCATTCCAGTTTCTGTAACGATATGAATATCTATAAGATAATTAATATTTCGACATGGATGTAGATATAATAAGGAATCATTTTTAATATTGTAATAATTCAATGGACGATCATCGTTCATTTTTTCATCTGTAGTTCGTAAATCTTGATTATCCGTAGAGATATTGTGTTCGATAGTAATCATCTTTTTGACAAAATGAACAGTGTCAGTCTGTTTTACTTTCAAACGGTATGAAACGTCAGAACCATCTGAAATATTTATAAATATACTATTATCACGAACTGGTAAAGCTTTAGCAATGTTTTTTAAATCCTGGAAATAAATTATTGATTCTTGCTCTATATTGTAATCAAATAGTGTATAATCATCTTCGAGCGTTATGTCCTCATATGTTAATAATTGTTCTTTTGGAGGAACACATTCTTTGGCATAAAGTATTTCTTTGATATTTCGAATAGTGTACGGAGGATCAACGCACAAGCGCAATAGGGTATCACTTAACATGGTCTGAACATAAATTGTAACCGATGAATCAATCACATTGGTAAACGAACAGGTGCTAGATGAGAATGGGTAACAATCAACTCTGATAGATTAAGAGAAGCAGATTGGTTAGATTTTCTCAAGTTATTCATTGTCTCCTGGGTCATCTTTTCTACGTGTTCTTTGTTTATCTGTTCCAACTAGGTAACTTCAAAATTTTATTTGACGATAGATTAACGAAACTTAAACTTAACGAAAAAGACGAAATAGGATGAGAAATTCCACTGGTAGTATCATTACACAATAGAATACAGACTATGTTGTGAAACAGCTTAACATTCACATGTTTCTACAGTACCTTTCAACGTTGGAAGTAATTGACGGTCCTAGCAAATTTGGCTCCGTTTGTTCTAAAAGGTTAAGATTTATAGTTATAGAATGCTCCTAATATTAAACTGTTTTTATCCTTACCAGATAGTTGTTCTTGTACAAGCTGCAGTTGTGGTAGTGGAGTTTGAACATTTTGAGATATGTTTTCTTCTATCGTGTTGTCTGGGTATATTTCATTGATTAGATCATGTGGTATCTCCGTTGTTATTTGAACATTAGCCATTAGCGACGGTGGTTGAAGAAGCTCAAATGGTGGCTCAATCTGTTTCAATTGAATGATATGCAGATCATCGGCAAGTTCCAATTGGCTAATGACTTCTAGATAAGTACCTGGTAATAATATAATTTCATTTTCTGTTTTGAAATACGAATGATCTTTAATTACTTTTCCTTGAGTACATTCAATAGAGAAAAGAGTACGAGCACCAGTTTTTCCTAAATATTGTTCCGATTGGAGAATTTCAATCGAATCTGTACAGGAACTTACTCCCCACCACGTACAACGAATTCCTTTTGGATATTTTGTACTTAGATCGGTTTTAACACCACGCCAAATTGTGCCTCTAACTGATGGCAATTTAAACAATGCCGAAAGAAATAATTTTAAATAGGCAAACCACGGTATTAATTGTTGACGATCTTCTGAACGCAATGTTCGATTAAGTATGTAATAAAAACTGCGAGTCATCGGATACCATTCAAATGTATATAATTGAATAGCCGACGATTCCTCGCAGTTTAAACCATCAGTTGGATTTTGGCAATTTTCTTTTGCTACCCAAACTTTAGCTGACAGTTTCGGAATAAGAATTTCAAGAGGTTTGATTGCTTCTTCTAATGACATCAATGGCATATCTTGGTATCCTTCTATAGGAAGTAACGCTTTTCTTGGTTCCTCATCGACATCGAGAAAACGTAAATTTTTTTGTGGACTATTAGTATTAGTGTTTTCTGCCATTTTATGGATTTGATGATTGATGGTGGGCAATATGTTTAGTTCTAAAATGACCCATCACTTTTACTCACTTTTCATGTGCTCTAAAGATCTTAGAGTGTACGAAATTTAAAACTTCTGAATGTACCTTTCATTTCAAAATATGATGTACTCGGACTGATCGGATTGATCAATTCGATTTTTCTCTACCCAACAATAAAAACAGTCTAGCGCCGTTATTTTTCACCAAAATCCTTCAAATTTCCAGAATAGGCTTGATTCAAGGCGTTTCATTGAACTGAAGAATCAAAAGTGGAAGAAACAAAAGGAAAGCTTGTGGAGTTTTCCAGAAAACCTTTGAAGATTTTTAGGTGAAATTTCACCGTAAAAACATATTTTTAGTTATCTTAATTACGAAGCAGGACAACCGGATTGAGTTTTGAAAATTTGGAAGGTTTTGGTTAAAAAAGAAGGGCGCTTGATGGTTTTTTATTGTTAGGTGGTCGTAGAGAAAAATCCCATTTTTCAACAAAACTCGTCTCTCGAAGTTCGTTTAATTCGGAGAATAGCATAAATATTGCCGCAAGATTCAGCACAGTCAATAGCCTATGTATCACGTGTTTTTGAGGCTTTCAGAGAAGGTTTAGCGGACAGATATCACCCGGAGATTTTCTTTAGCACCTGAACCATGATAGATGGAGACCTGAGACCTTCGCCAGAATGTAGACGGGCATCTGTTCTATAACTCAATGTGTTAAAGGCCCCCTCTCAGAAATTATCTCCTACACCGTGCATCCGATCTTGATGAAACTTTCCATAAATGTTCGGCACAATGAGTTACTGGAATGAAAAAAATTTTTTGTCTCCAAGTCTTACGGTTTAGGAGTTTTCTAGAGATCAAGATCCAAAAAGGACCCTGAACGGCGTTCCAAGATTTTTTAATATACTTCAAGCTGGATAGTTCGGGTTTGTTTTATTTTAAACTAGACACCTAACTACATCGACTGGCCGACGCCGATTTTTCAATTAAGCCTTTATTGGTTTATTGGTTTTCCAGGCAACCAACGACCTGCGAAACCCGAAAAAGCCGTCCGGATTTTCTAAAAATCCTCAGTTTGACAAAAAAATAACACCTAATTCAAAAATCGATGCCGGTCAGTCGATGTATTTTTTTTTCCTCTTTTAAACAAAAAAAGAATGAACTCTCTACGACAAACCGCTATTAAAAATCTTGGGACGCACTTCAGGTGTAACTCTTATATAGCGAAAACGCTATG